CCTGGGCGAAGGACGGGCCCTCGTGCCGGTGCGGCGGGGGCGGCGGCGGCTGCGCGTACGGCGGGTACGGCTGCGGCGGCGGGTACCCGTAGGGCTGCGCGTACTGGTGCGCCGGGTACGCCATCGGCGGCGGGTACGGCTGGACCGGCGGCGGCGGGTACGGTTGGCCCGACGGCGACGGGTACGGCTGGCCCGGCGGCAGTGGCGCGTACTGCTCGCGGTTCTGCTGCTGCTGCGGCGACGGCGGGTACTGCTGGTTCGACGGAGGAGGGTACGGCTGGTTCGGCGGCGACGGCGGGTACGGCTGGCCCGGCGGAGGAGGGTACGTCTGGTTCTGCGGCGACGGAGGGTACGTCTGGTTCTGCGGCGACGGCGGGTACGGCTGGCCCGGCGCCGGCGGGTACGGCTGGTGCTGGTGCTGGCTCTCCTCGACGCCGGTCTTGGCGTACGGGTCCATCGGGTACCCTGATCCGCGACCACGTTTACATGTGTCAAATGTCAGTGCGAATACAAGAATCAATCAAAATTTTAAAACACAAAAAATGCCGCAGAAAAAAGGTATAACCGATTTCGTGCAAACTGTCGGTCGGCGACAGTTCGTTCTTCTTTGGAATTAACAACGCAATGTCAACGAGATTTAGTCAGTCCGCGTGATTTTGATAGAATAAAGAAGAGATCGGAGCATGCATTCACGACGTACCGTTGAAACGGGTAAAATTTAACGGGCTCTGACGAACACAATTGAAAACTAGGACGACGACGATGATGATGATGAGCACGTCTCACCTTGAGGGGGAGGGGCGCCGACAGGGGCATGCGGGTTGTAGTAGCTCATCGGCGACGACGAAGAAGAAGAACTAGTATTGTTTTTTGAACAAGAAGTGAAGAAAACGAAGGGAGATTGTGGTGCTTGATCCGGAGGAGGGGAGGCTGCCGGTTGTTGAGGGAGACGAGCAGACGAGACCGATTTGGAGGGAGGAAGCTGCGCAAGTGATGTGCTGCTACTCGCCTATTCTAGGGAAGCATGCAAGCATTTGCATGCAGAACTAGCCCGGCCAGTACATGCAGACCAAGAGCACCATTTACGGCTGTTGCTTTGTTTGAATTTGCTACAAAGCATCGACCAAATTATCTGTTCGGGGTCTCGATCATATCCTCTCTAACGGGGTCATTTTTCTCCTGTCCGGCCTAGCGGCAATGCCGGGAGTATCATCAATTTCAGACGAGCGACCCGAGAATGCATGCAGCCTTGCACTGGCATGGTTAGGCCAACTCCACCGCGCAATCCTAAACGGACGTTCGTTTTGTTCGATTTTTGTCTTTTTGGGTAGGGATTTCGGGTCGTATCCGGGTCTGTCCTGAGATGCGGTGGTCGTGCGCCCAGCGCCCGGCCGCATCCTTTTGCCCCATCCTGTCCGCGTCTATTTAAAAAAAAAAAGGACGTTTCAAATGCCAAGCCCCAGTTCACGACCCGAGTTCATCACGTCGGCAACAAAGCCAGCGGCCTACACGACCATCGCCGGCAACACAGCCAACGGCCGGCAACACAGTCAGCCTCCAAAATGAATAGTTGTCCTCACCGGCAACACAACCAGCGGCCGGCAACACAGCCGGCCTCCAAAATGAATGTTTTTTCGCCGGCACACTACCAGCGGCCCAGCGGGCGGGCGGCACCCATGCCAGCCTCCAAAAAGAACGGCCACGCCGATCGGACGACCTAGTTCAGGCCTTCGGCGTCGAGCATCTCCTTCTGCTTGGCCTCGAACCAGGCCTTCGTCTTGTCGCTCATCTTCGACAAGTCCACGCTCATGATCGCAAGGGCCACCTCCTTCGCTTTGGTGGCGGCATTGGTGGCCTCGATGTCGAGCTGCCTCTGCCTGGCCTTGACGTTGTCGGCCTCGATGTCGAACTGCCTTTGCCGGGCGGCCTCTTCCATGTCGAGCTGCCTTTGTCGGGCCGTCTCCTTCATGTCTATCTTCCTCTTCTTGGCCGCCTCCTCCATCTTAAGCTTCTGTCGTTGGAGGTCTAGGTATTGCTTCATTTGCTCGTCCTTGCTTTGCCGCTCCTTCTCGTCCCTCACATCCTTATGTGACATCATGCCATGCAAAGTCTCATGCAAGGCCATGGATGAGGTGTCACGTATGTCGTCCACCTTTGAGTTGGTCTTGCCCCTCGGCCTCTTCAACGCCTCGCCATCCCCACCTCCGGCGAACTTGACCGTCTTCTTGCCTCTCTTCCTTTGAAGTTCACGGTATTGATCCTTGAACTGAGGGCAATTATTGATGATCGTCCAACAATGCGTAAGAGTGAATGGCTTGTCATTGTGCCGGACCTTAAATGCCTCCAAATTGAAATGCCTACACCACATGATCAACAACAAGTGAACATGCAAACATATACACGACCGAAGTCTCATGGCCGTAGTAAGGGCTAGAAAGAGAAAAACATACCATGTCTCCAACGCCGAGACCACTCACGGGCCGTGCTTCAACGCTCTCAAGTGCGGCACAATACTTGTTGCACTCTTGTTGGATGAACAACCATCTTTTTTTAATCGAACCGATGCCACGGTTGCTTGTAATTTGGTAGGGCTCAAACATCTTCCTTTCATGGAATGTTTTGTGGACCCCCGTCCAAAAAACAATGCCCTTTTGTTGCGCGCCGGTCCTTGGATCTTGGCTAATCTCCATCCAACATTGGCAAATCATTGTCCTCATCTTGTGTATATGAACCGGTGCGAATGCTCTTCCGCTTTTTTTGTGCTTCCGCTCTTTGGGTGAGCTCGTCTATGAACAATGGAGCGCCACTAATATCAACATCATTGGCTTCATCTTCATCTTCACCTTCGACATAGATGTCATCGTCTTCATGCCACGAATCACCATGGTCGTAGTCAGCACGGTCGTCGGCCTCTTCATCGGGCACGTACTGGGCGCGGCCATCCTGACTTTGGGTCTCATCGGGGTCGTAGGCACGGCCATGCCCACCCTGGAAGATCACGTCCTCCATGTACTGGTTGTAGAAGGGGTCGTCCACCGTCGGCGTTGAGGTTGGCATTTCGTCAAACAACACGCGGGGGGCCAGCATGGTGCCCGTGAACGGTGCACGCGCCTGCTTTCTTTGCATCTCGACGGAAGGCCGCCCGCCGCTGCTGGACCCAGGCGTCACGTTGAGGTTGATGACGGCCGCGGGGCGTGGTGTGGACAGCGCGAACAAGCCCACGTCCGGCGACGCCGAGAAACGGATATGGCCGTCGTGCCTGGGTGGAGGAAAGCCGGGCGACATGGGCCGGCGCGCGACGTCGGCGACTGGCAGTGCGTAGGCCGGGCGACCGACGAGTCTGTGCTCGCCGGGCCGACGGCCGCTGCATGGAACCCCGTCGGACGGCCCATGCCAAGCATGAGGATGGTGTGTGCTTTGTTGACGAGGTCCTCCTTCTCGTCGGCAGCGGCCTTGCGCCGCGCGGCCTCCAGCTCCTCGCACTGGGCGACAAACTTGGCCGCGGCGGCATTCATCTTGACGGCCGCTCTCCGTTCCCTCCTCTTCGCCGATTTCGCGTCCAACTTGGCGATCTCCTCCGACGTGTACTCCGACCGCGGCTTCCTTGGCGCTTTCTTCTTCACCTTTGCGGTCGGGTCGATGGCCAGGCCGCCGGAACTCGGCGGGGCGTCGGCCATGGACGGAGGAGAGAGGGGGGGCGGGAGGGACGTGGGAGAGTTTGGGGGAAATGGCGCCAAATGGCCGTCGGGGGGTTTTTGGTTTCTCCCACCGACAGGCGGGCCAGGGGAGGACAAGCGTGCGCGTCCCGCCCGTCCGCGCGCTGTCCGTTTCACCCCAAAACCGGCGCAAGTTTGGGTCAAGGATGGGTCGAAAGCGGACACAAAACGGACAAAAGTCCGTTTGCTCTTGCGCGCTGGGCCGCCTTTTTTGTCCATTTTATCTCAAACGGATGGGGCCGGATAGGATAGGATCGCGCGGTGGAGTTGACCTTACATGACACCACAGTGCCCATGGGAGAACAAAACGAAACGATTCCAGCCGCGGCTAGGCAGGCCATAGCACCAGTGCTAGCTCCGATCAGTCCATCAGGTTAACGAGGCCAACGAATCTTTCGGCGCATCACGTGCCCCTGCACGTACGTAGAGCATATGCTGCGCCAGGAATTTTGCCCTCCGGGAGCTATCTATGCAGGCACTTTCCGTGTCGACTTTTCTTGTCTCGGAAGCTAGGCTACCGAGCTACCACACGCCTGCTGCAGTGCAGCGTCGCCGTCTCCAGACGGACAGGCAGATACAGATACCAGCTGCAGTGCATGGGCATGGCGATCACGTCGCCGGTCAAGTTCGATCAGGTCAGGTCAGGTCGGGTCAGTCCCCGACCCATCTCCCACACGCCATCTGTCCCTCCATCCATGCATCGTCTGAAGCACCGCCGAATCCCTCCCTGGCTTTGTCACGGAGCTGATCAGATCAGCCCAGAGACCAGGCAGGCAGAGCAAACCGGGGCTTTTCCCTGCGGAGGAGCGAGGGAGATCAGACTATCAGAGATCGCCGTGCACGTGTTGGATGATAGTCTCTGCTACACGTGCATGATGGCTGCTCAGCGCTTGGCCCGGCCGCTGTTCAGATGCCCGAACGAGCAGGCCTCTGACTGGAGATCGATCGATCGATCGATCAATTGAGCATCCCGATCTTTCTCTCCCGATCAAAAGAGATTGAGCCTCCCGATACGTAATAATGTGGGAGGGCTCGCCGCCCGGGACGCTCGACCCACGGCTCGAGCAGTTTGATCGCGTGGTCATTTTGGTTCTCGAGGACCAGTCAATAGTCCATATCATCCGTCACGTTACACACTTTTACACCCAGTGACCCATACTTGCACAGTTGCTACTACTACCACTAGGCATCCATCTGGAGCCGCAGCCACGCAACATTTTACACATACATACACACAGAGAGAGACGGAGCCGTGCGTCTGATCCGGCCGTGTACTACTCCGCTTCAGTCTCGCCCTTCCGCGATGCTCTGCAGGGCCGGCCGCCACTGCCGGCCGAGCCGCCTGCCGAGCGCCAGCCCGGGCGGCAGCAGCGACTCCAGGTCGCAGTCGTCGTCGTCGTCGTCGAGGCCGGGCTCGGACGCCGCGACGCCATTGTTGTCGTTTGTTCCTGCCTTCGGTACGCGCCCGGAGCTCGGTGCGGCCGCGGCCTCTTCCTCCCCCACCGACTGGCGCATGATCTGGAATAAGGGAAAAAGCGCAGGGTTGGTGACACGGCCGTTTCGGGGCATTAACTAGTTCGGACAGCGATGACGAGGACTGGCAGTCAATTCGGCGCAGATATTGGTACGAGCCGCGATGGATCGGCCCATGATCCCCGTCGATGGCGACCGAACGGATCACCAAAGATTTGGGCCGAGCCGGTGGTTGCAATGCATGTGCCAGTGAACATTCGGAAGCTAGGAGAAGCATGCGAACGCACCTTTGCGAGCGACCGGTCGGATTCCTCGCGCACGACGCCGGCGTCGGCGCCGCCGCCGCCGCTGCTGCCACGCCGGCGCCTGGGCTTGGCCGGCTTCGTGGGCGCCGCCACCTCGTCCTTGGCCTTGACCATGACGCGGCTGAGCTTGACGTGCCGCTTCGTCGCGAACTCCTTCAGCACCTCTGCTCGATCGATCGCCGCACAGCACCAATCAATGGAGAAGATCTCGTTAGTTACTCCTCGGCGGGAATAGAATAGGGAAGAAGATACTGGCAAATAATGGAGCACGGTGACACCTAGAACGCCAGCTCGCCCCAGAAAGTTATTACGGGTAAAGCTCCACTTAATCCGCCGCTCGAGTAGTCAAAAAACGGCATTTAATCGGACGGCGAGAGGCGGGAATCGCAGCTTAATCCCTCCCTCGCCCGTCGCAGTCGAAGGTACGCACGTACACGCGCAACAAGTTGACGCCGGGAAACATTTTCGGCGCGGCGTCCCAACGCAAGCGATCGGAGGGGGCGGCGGGAGCGAGCTTGGAGGCGGCAGACGCGACGTACCTTCGAAGCTGACGAGGCGGTAGACGCGGCCGAGCAGGAGCGTGTCGTCGGGGCGGAGCAGCTTGAGGTGCTTCACGGGCGGGGCGCCGCCGGGGCCCTCGGAAGACGCGGCGTGCGGGGCGGTGATGACGGCGGCGACGTAGTGGCCCGGGTTGGCGGCCATGACCTCGCCCGCCGGGAGCGACCAGTAGGCCAGCTCCGTGCGGCCGCTGGCCGGGTGCTGGATCACCACCGCCGCCGCGTCGGCCGCCTGGCAGTTACCCATGGCTCTGCACACGCCGGCGTCTGTTCCCTCGTGCGTTCGAGAGGCGAGGGGGTCGGGAGGTCGGGGGCGGGCGAGTGACCGTCGCAGGTGGCAGCGGCGACCGTTTTATAACAAGGCTGGTGCCGTCGACGCCGATGGAGAGAGAGAGAGATACGTGCGGGTGCGGCCGGCTACTCTGTGTGACCGAAGTTAATTATTGGAAGTGGTGGTATTTCCCTCCCACCCGGCGGGTCGACGCCTAACTCGACCGGGCCGGTGTGCCGAATTTAGCTACAGTCCACGTTACTAGGCCGTGCACGCATCAAGCGATGCAGGCCGGCGAGTCCCCCGTTGCGTTGCCTTTTTTCGGCTCTCGCGTGCGTGCGGTGGCCGGGTGCGGCTCGACCGGTCGAGGGGTGTGGTGGCACGAATGAGACAAACCGGGGAGAGTACCAAAACACTAGGAACTACTCAGTGGGGAAATGTTGAGCGTGTTTGGTGGTCTACCAATATGTGGCAGGCGTACAAAAAATGATTAGAAATTGTCCTAAAGTTGATGTCAAGCTTGCGAGAACAATGAATCTGTAACATGTTATGTATATGTATGTATGTACTATACGTATATGTATAGGACTGCTAGGAAAGTGTGGAATGAGGATGGGCCGGCAGAGGACGTACGTAGTGCCACCAAGGACACGAGGCCCCCTGGCAAGGACCCAATCGTGGATTAAGAGGGAAAACTTGGAGCACGTCTGGTTCGCAACCAAAATTGGGACAATCGTAGGAAAAAATGAAAATATGAAGACAATTTGGTTTTGGACGAAACTTTTCCGGTTTTGAGACTTAACGGACTAAATGTCACCCAAAGACAATTGAGGTTCAGTAAACCTGAGGGACCGAAATTATACTTTTCTCTTAAGCAAATAATGGACATTAATAGTTACTCCCTCCGTTCCAAATTACTTGTCGTGGTTTTACCTCCGTTCCAAATTACTTGTCGAGGTTTTAGTTTATTGAATTAAAACCACGACAAGTAATTTGGAACGGAGGGAGTACAACGTTTACTATGGACTAAACAATGAGTTAATTCTTTTTTGAAATCTGGGGCTCCATTGGGCCAGGTTTTCCAAAGAAGGGAAATAAAATTGTTTATATAGAAACCTCAAATAGTTTGTAAAAAATTTCCATTGTGTGTATGTGTAAATCTCATTAGGACATACTCCCTCCCTTCTGAATTATTTGTCTTAGATTTGTCCAGACATCCATGCTTCTTGACACATAATTTGGGACGGAGGTAATACTTTATCATGTGAGCTATGCACACAGATTTGTTGTTTGCAATAGCAAAAAATGTGTTTACTGTTTTCTATTTTCAACTCTACATATAGAAAAATGTTTTCATATCTTTATGTACATGTTTTTATTATTTGAAAATTTGTAACATTTCTCTCATCACTGTTCCATTTGCAGTTTTCATGTTTTTTCTTAGTTCCATCATGGCAGTTTTCTTTTCTTTCATAACATTTTAATTTTTGCATCATTATCATAAAAAAAAACTAATAACTTGTTGCCATGGGAACATAATTTTTGTTGTCATGGAAACTAAAATTATACAACCACGACAACTTGAAATATTTCTTTTTTGTATATCTTTTTAGTGCACCATGGTAAACTGTATGCATTTTTTAATCGATATGCAAATTTGCCATGTATGATTTTATTTTTTCTGCAGTGAAACATGGTAATATTTTGGTTGTTTTTATATTTTTTTTGGATTTAATATGGCATATTTTCCGTGTAGGTTTTTTTGTAGTTGAGCGTGGCAATTTCTTGTATGTAGTTTATCATGGCAATTTTGTGTATCTATTCTATTTTTTTTGTAGTTTATCATGGAAATTCCCTGTATGTATTGTGTTTTTTTTGTAGTTTATCATGGCAATTGCTTCTATGTATTTTGTAGTTTTTTTTAGAAAAAAAAACTGTAACTTTATTCATACTCTAGAACGTTCGCCCGGGCCACGCATTAGCGCGTACTATTGCGAGCCTTCTATTCATTCGCTCGCGTCAGCCGTTGCGAGTGATCGATTTGTTCGCACCAAGCTGGCTCCTGATCTGGCGATCGTGCGTTCTGTGCGTCCATAAAATATTGGTTCTATATTTATCACTATGTGTGGTATTTTATCATGAAAATCTAGTCTGATTTAAAGTAGGAAATAATTTCCAATAAGCAGTAGAGTCTCCAATCTTAGCTAGTTGTACAAGGCAAGGCGTTCATACGACAGCCGGAAAAGTAAGTTCTTCCGCCGGCAAGCTCCGTTCTGAAATTTGGAACCCCCCTCCTTTTCCTTTGACCAATGTGTGGCGAAAACAGTAGACGCTACGGACTTGATTGTATGTCACTTCTCTATATATGGTTTAG